TAGAGGTAGAGGTAGAGGTAGAGGTAGAGGTAGAGGTAGAGGTAGAGGTAAAGGTGGAGATAGAGGTAGAGGTAGGTAAAAATGTCTTAATGGCTATCGAACATATGTCGTAAACATCTATCCTTTCCATAGTCCACATTAGCCACTTTGATTAATTGGCATGATATGGCGTAATGCTAATTAATTATGTTTCATTTTTGCGCCGGTGCGCGTGAAAATGCAGAGTTCAGTTGAGTGAGCTATGGGCAGACGTACGGAGCTCTTTCTGTCCGGCTACTTCCGGCTGCTGGCGCTCACCTGCAGCGCCCAGAAGCCGGCGGTGCAGCAGCTGCTGAGCAGCTACCTGGCCTTGGTGCTGGGCGATATGCTGCGGCAGGTGTGGCGCTACTTTACCCTCAGCTGGGAGCCGAGTGAGGGGCACAGTCAGCACCAGAAGCACTTCGGCACCTACGCCAAGATCATCGATGCGATGAGCCTCGCCTATCTGCTGGCCCACATGCTGATGCTGCTGCAGGCGTTGCTGCTGCGCAATCGCGAGCGCCGACTCCTGGCACAGCTACCGTCTGTGGGTGGATCGATGCCCACGGGCTTCAATCTGCGGCTGCATGTGGCACTCGAGTGCTTCATTGTCGCCTGCGCCACGACCAGGGCCCTCTTCCAGACGATCAAGGGCCAGCAGCTGCTGCCCAGCCTGCGCGAGTTGTACACCACGCAGGCGGTGCGAGCGCGCTACCTGCAGATGTCGCTGATGGTGGTGCGGCTGGACATCAAGCTGCTCTCGCTGCAGCACCGACTGCTGCACGGACACCAGTGCAGCCTGGAGCTACGCACCAACTACGCCCACATTTTGCGCCTGATGCGCCAGCTCTCCCGCATCTACGGGCTGTCGGTGCTGCTGATGAACGTGCTCTGCATGGGCGACTTCATTGTCGTCTGCTATGCGTACATCATCCTGTGGCGCCTGACGACCGTAAGCATTAGCTGGCTGCTGCTCTGGCAGACCGTCTACGTGGTTCTGCCCACCATCATCAAGATCTGGACACTGTGCGCCGTCTGCGACAGCTGTGCCCAGCGCGTAAGTGTGTCCATCAACGCATTTGGCTAAAAATAATTCCAGATAATCCGTTTCGCAGTCAAAGCAGCTGCTGGTGCTGATTAATGGCGCCTGGCGTCGGCAGCCATCAGCCGGAAGTGGAAGCGGAAACGGAAATGCGATTGGCTCACGCAGCCAAATCGCCCGCAAGCAAACGGAAGACTTTTCGCTGCAGATCATGCAAAACTCGGTGCAATTCGAAGTCTGTGGCATTTACCATCTGAATCTCAAGACTCTGAGTGGGGTAGGCTCAAGCGAAATCATTGCGCTGGTAGCTTGGTTTATTTTCGTTTCCCTAATGCAGATGCTGTTCTTTATCATCGATTCTCTGGTCATCTTTTTGCAATTCATTGGCCTTACCGAACAGCAGAGAAACTGAGCGGAGCTGCGCTGGCCTAGGCAAAGTCCAACTCGAGCTACTTTTGCCATATTATGAATATTCATTAATAAATATCTTACAAGTTCTCAGAGCTTATGAAACATCAATCAGCTCCAAGCAACAAAGCGCCTTACACTACTCGACTTTAATCAATCTCTGAGTCAAAATTGACTCGACTTGAGATACAAAGCTGAAAGTTCATCTCATATGCAAAAGAGCCTTAAAGCTTATGGCTTAGTGCACGCGGGAATTAACCAAAAAGGTGAGCAAACAACTTTAACGTGAAAATGGAAGTGAAGAAGAAAATAAAAATGAGAATGAAAATAAAATGAAAATGAAAATGTAAATGCAAATGAAAGGCACCAAGTCAATATATCATTTTTCCTTTGGGAACTGCGACCGACAAAATTAAAGAGAGAGAGAGAGTCAGAGAGCTCTGGACGTAAGTACTCGACAAGGAAATACTCTAAAGAGCTGACAGAGCTTCTTGCTCCGAGTATTCAGGAAAAACTAAGCTGATTTTCCTTGCGAAGCTGCTCTTCCAATTAAGGGAGTATTCGGCTAGGAACTACCCTAAAGAGCTGACTTCGCCTGCTGGGCAAGTGCTTCAAGCATTCACTCAGACTAGTTTTTTTTGGTAGAGCTTATTTGCTATGCAAAACTGCTGTTTCAATCATTCGGGAAGGGGGCTCTAGACTGGAGTACACGGATAGAAAATAACCTGAAGTGTGAAGTACCCTAAGGAGCTGCTGTGCCAATAATTCAGTCAGAGAAAAAAACACAAACATACATACACACACATGCCATTCTCACATACATAAGCTCACGCTCTGCTGACTGCGCAGTGACTGCGCTTGGACTGCGCTTAAGGGCCTTACCATGCCATGGCCATGGCAACCTTATTGCTGAATAACTATTATTTTAGATGGACTTTCTCAATCGAAATTTAAGATTATTATACTAACAAGCATATGTGTCTATATGCTACGTCACAACTCTCTACTTCTAAGAAATACTTCTATCGATTATTATCGATAACAGCAAAATGGGTTTAACTTTCGAACTAGATATACAAAATTAAAAGCATCAAGCATTTGCAGCTCATCTAAACAGTCAAAGAGACCGGAGAACACACGGATTGACAGACGAACACACTACCATGGCTGTATCAACTCAGCTCGCTCGACTGATCTATCATTCCTGCTTTCACATGTGAGCTCACGCCCCATAGCTTCCCCTTTTTCAATGGAATAGTAAAAACAACAATTCATAAAAGAAAAACAACATTATTTTGCCCGCACATATATGTATGTATCAATAGCGAATCGAGTAAATGCTGCTCCCGGCTGACAAACATGTCGCATAGCTAGCCAAGCTATTCAAAAGGCATATCACATGAATTTTGCATGACAACTGTCAGTTCTGAAATTGATAAAGGCCAGCTGCATATACATATATGTATATGGAGATACGGACCCCAAAAAACTGACAGCGCTCATATGACATATTGAGGCAAAAACATGAATAAGTAAAAGCAACAACAGCAACCAACAGCAGCGACAAAAACTGTTGCCTACTGCGCGGCGCTGCCATTTGGGGACTTCCCCACCATTTGATGCGCTTAATAGCCCGATGTAAGCCGATTATGGTGCGAGCCATGCTTAAAATGGTAATCCGGCTGAAAGTGCACAGACGAGCGATGATTGAAGCTTGAAGCGGACACCAGCGACGGCCCAGCGAGAGAGTGAGAGCTTCATGAGCAGCGTATTTGAATTGCAAAAGTCGATGATAGCGACTAATGTGTCTATGGATCTGCTGCTCTAGTCTACTCTATACTACTCTATATCATATTGTTTTGTTAGCGATTACGCGATACTCGCTCAGAAGTACATTTTGGGCAAGCATTGATGTTTTGATTGGGGCTGGGATACCAAGAGATCTCTGGGTAGATATACATATAAGGTATGCTGCTGCAAGAGAGATGTATATATCAAATTTTATTTATGCTAATATCGATATTTTGGCTGAGGATGGCAGATGTAGGAAATAGTCCCGGCTGTTGATCTCTCTCTCTCTCTCTCTCTCATGCTTTCTTTCTCTTTTTCTCTCTCTCTCTCTCTCTCTCTCTCT